ACACACACACACACACACACACACACACACTGAACCTGTGTCTGTCTGTCCATCAGGAGGTGGAGAAGGAGTGCAGGTGTGGTAAATACAGGAAGTTGATGCCGTGTCATAAAGAATACCTGTGTGACTCCAAATGTCCAAAAACCAGAAGTTGCCAGAGACACCAGTGCAGGAGGAAGGTATCATCATCATCATCATCATTAATTCATCTGTTTATAGATCGTGTTATTCAGCTGATATGAGTGAAAACAAATCTGTGTGTTAACATTTGTGATCGGGGAAAAGTGCCGGGCCTGTAGCCTTTATATGATCATATCATATGGTGATATCGTATCGCGATGCTATCGTATCGCGATGCTATCGTATCTTGATATTGTATCTTGATATCGTACCGTGATGATATCGTACCGTGATGCTATCGTACCGCGATGCTATCGTATCTTGATATTGTATCGCGATGATGTCGTACCGCGATGCTGTCGTATCGTGATGCTATCGTATCTTGATATTGTATCGTGATGATGTCGTTCCGCGATGCTGTCGTATCGCGATGCTATCGTATCTTGATATTGTATCGTGATGATGTCGTACCGCGATGCTGTCGTATCGCGATGCTATCGTATCTTGATATTGTATCGCGATGATGTCGTACCGCGATGCTGTCGTATCGCGATGCTATCGTATCTTGATATTGTATCGTGATGATATCGTATCTTGATATCGTGTCATGATGATATCGTATCTTGATATCGTGTCATGATGATATCGTATCTTGATATCGTGTCATGATGATATCGTATCTTGATATCGTACCGTGATGATATCGTATCTTGATATCGTATCGTGATATCGTATCGTATCCCGGTGATATCGTATCGCGATGATATCGTACCTTGATGTCGTACCGCGTTTCTGTCGTACCGCGATGCTGTCGTATCTTGATTCTTGATATCGTATCGCGATGATATCGTATCGCGATGATATCGTATCGCGATGATATCGTATCGCGATACGATAGTATCTTGATATCGTATCGCGATGCTATCGTATCGCGATGCTATCATCTCTCCTCTAGACACGCCCATGTTCACCTCCCAAAGGATGTTGTTGCAGAACCCTTCACCATAACTGTCGTATATAATATAATATAATATGGATTACAGTATTTATTGTACATAGTTTGGAGATTAACGGAGATTAAAAAGTAATCTTTCCTTAAGTGTTCTCATATTCCTACATTAAACAGCACGTGTGACGTCAGGTTGTGAAGGATAAAGAGAATGAATCTCCTTTGAGGCATTAGAGATGATAAATACTCTGTGATGTGTAAATGTCAGTGTCTCATCTGTCATGTGACCGTTAAAGGTTGGACTGTCCTCAGATCTGTGTGTCATGTGACACGAGCAGCTGATAACGTTTTGTCTGGATCCTGTTTAAATGTCACCTGTGAGCTTCTCAACTGCTCTCAGCACACATCTTTGAACGCTGTTCACTCTCCGACTTGAACTCCGTTTCCCATGATGCCTTGTGTTCTCAGTGCTGCCCTGGTAACTGTCCCCCATGTGACCAGAGCTGTGGTCGAACTCTGGGGTGTCGCAACCACAAGTGTCCCTCTGGCTGTCACCAAGGTAACACACAGACACACACACAGAGAGACACACACACACAGAGAGAGACACACACACACACAGAGAGACACACACAGACACACACAGAGAGACACACACACACACAGACACAGACACACACACAGACACACACACACATAGACACACACAGACACACACACATAGACACACACAGACAGAGACACATGGACACACACATGGACCCACACAGACAGAGATACACATGGACCCACACAGACAGAGACACACATGGACCCACACAGACAAAGACACACATGGACACACACAGACACAGACACACACATAGACACGCACACAGACACACACACACATAGACAGACAGAGACACATGGACACACACATGGACACACACAGACAGAGACACACATGGACACACACAGACAGAGACACACATGGACACACACAGACAGACACACATGGACACACACAGACACAGACACACATGGACACACACAGACACAGACACACACACAGACACAGACACGCACACAGACACACACACACAGACACGCACACAGACACACACACACATAGACACACACAGACAGAGACACATGGACACACACATGGACACACACAGACAGAGACACACATGCAGACACACAGACAGACACATAGACACATAGACACACACACACATAGACACAGACACACACACACACAGGATGTCACATCACATCACTGTTCATCAGATACGTTGTGATTTGTTGAGGGAGTCACAGCTGGTGGAAGGTCAGAGGTCAAATTCAGGAAAATTCTGACCCATAAGAAGTGTGTGCGTGTTCATGTGTGTGTGTGTGTGTTAATGTGTGTGCGTGTTTGTGACATTTGTTCCAGCTGATAGCGTTGAACGTGTGTTTGGAAAAAGTTGACCTCTGCTTCCTGCTGAACATCATTAATCTCTGTTATTAAAGAGTGTGTGTGTGTGTGTGTGTGTGTGTGCAGGATAACAGACAGCTTCCTGCGTCTATTGTTGTCTGATTGGACAGATAATTTATTCGTCCGTCTGCCTCCTGATTGGTTGAACAGATTAAAGTTCATCTATTTGTCTTCGTGCTGATTGGCTGCTCTGACCTTTCAGAGGAGCGACGGGTAGAAGGTCAACGTAGTGTGTGTGTGTGTGTGGTTAGTATAAGTAGTATTATGGATAATATATATATATATATATATATATATATATATATATATCTCATGATCATTATTGAAATAGATCAACATAGTAAATATTTAACATAAATCATAAAGCAACCCTCAGTTGTTGAATAATTATAGAACCAGATTCAACAGGTCGACTTGTTCTATCTCAGTGATCAGTGTGACACACACACTCACACACTCTGCTATCTGCTGGTAAACACGTGTGTGTGTGTGTGTGTGTGTGTGTGTGTGTGTGTGTGTGTGTTATGTTCATGGTGTTGATGATGAAAACCTTGTTCAGATACAAACTTAAAGGAAATGCACGTCATCAGCAAAAACATTCTTCATCTATTCAACAACTCATGTTTCTCTGCTTGAGTTAACACAGTTATAAATAATACATATATATATGTATATATGTATTATTTATATATTCATACAGCACCTTTACAAAAAACGGATAGAGTTGAGTCTAAAGCCTGGTTCCCTCTTCAGTCTGACGGACTGCAGGTGAATAAACAGCAGTGTGTGTGTGTGTGTGTGTGTGTGTGTGTCCCTCAGGTAGCTGCTATCCATGTCCAGAGTCGGTGGAGGTCCGATGTTCTTGCGGTTCCACTGTCTTGTCCGTCCCTTGTGGACGAGAACGGAGCACCAGACCGCCTCGCTGCAAAGAGACCTGCAGGTACGCACACACACACACCCCTACACCTACCTGTGGGCCTCCCTCTCACCTGTGTCGTGTCCTCCAGGCGTCCTCCTTCCTGCCACCACCCGACCAGAGAGACCCACCGGTGCCATCCCGGGCCCTGCCCCCCCTGCAGGCTGCCCTGCCTGCTGCCGCTGCCGCGCTGCAGCCACACTTGCCCGCCGCCCTGCCACGACCAGGTGCTGGTCAAGTCCCAGCAGGTAGGTTAGCTTAGCTTAGCACAAAGGCTGGAAGTGGAGGGGAACGACTAGCCTGACATCCACCGAGCAGCTCCTCCCACGCTGATTAACACGTCTTCGCGATGATCTAAATGGAAAACGAATCTATTCTGACGTAGCGACCGTCTAAGTCACATGACTGACCGTGTGTGTGTGTGTGTGTGGTGTGTGTGTGTGTGTGTGTGTGTGTTTGTAGGTGCAGTTAGCCGGTCCGTGGGAGCAGCCGTCTGAACCAGCGTTTGTGCAGAAAGCTCTGCCCTGTCCACCGTGTCAAGTACCCATACCAACGTAGGTCAACACACACACACACACACACACAGACAGACACACAAACACACACACGCACGGAAACACTCACACACTCTCAAAATTGTTTCTAAGACGCTGCTGTGTGGACGGAGATTGTTTTAGTTTATTGTTCTTTGTTTGACGCCCCCCCCAACCACAAGCAAATCCCAGGGTGCTTTTCTCCTGTCATGGATCATTGCACTGGAGATTTAAAAATATACTGTGTTATGTAGTGTGTGTGTGTGTGTGTGTGTGTGTGTGTGTGTGTGTGTTTGTGTGTGTGTGTGTGTGTGTGTGTGTGTGTGTGTGTGTGTGTGTGT